GACGTCTGCGTGCCCCTCTTACCAACCCGGGCACAGCCAGAACGAGCAAGGTATTCGCACACCATGCTATCTATCCATGCGGTGTCGTTCCCCTCGCACCCCTCGAAGGAGGCCCCGCCAGAGCGAGCAAGGCATTCACACGCCGCACTAGTCACATCGTGTCGTGCCCCTTCCGCACCTCCAGGGAGGCCCCGCCAGAGCGAGCAGTGTATTCGCACACCATCGTATGCCCAAGGTGTCGTGCTGCCCCCACCCCCCAGGGAAGCAGCATGCCCCCCCCCCCCCAGGGCGAGTAAGGTATCCGCACACCAAACTATGTACACGGTGTCGTGTCTCTCCCAACCATCCTGGGAAGCCCCACCAGAGCGAGCATAGTATTCGCACACCATCGTATGTACAAGGTTTCGTGCCCTTCCCACCCCTCCAGGGAGGCGCAATTGAGGCCCCGCCAGAGCGAGCAGGGCATTATCACACCATTATAATTACACAGTCTCCTGTCTGCCAGGGCTAGCAAGGCATTCACACACCATGAGACTTACATCATTTACTATGCTTCTGGCCCCAACCAGCCCCTCCAGGGAGGCCCCGCCAGAGCGAGCAAGGCATTCGCACACTGTACTGTTTACATTGTTTCGTGCCCCACCCACCTCCCCAGTGAGGCCCCGCCAGAGCGAGCAAAGCACTCGCGCACCATACTATTTACACAGTTCCGTGCACCCCACACACACCTCTCCAGTGAGGCCCCGCCCAAGCGAGAAGGGTATTCGCACACCGCACTGTGTACACGTCTCCGTGCCCCTCCCACCCCTCCAAGGCGGCCCCGCCAAAGCGAACATGGCACTCGCGCTCCATAATGTTTACGATGCCTCGTGCCCCACCCGCGTCTCCAGCCGCGTATCCGCACACCATACTATCTACATGATTGCGTGCCCCTCCCACATCTCCAGTGAGGCCCCGCCAGAACGAACAAGGCGTTCGCACATCATACTGTCTATCCTGTTCCGTGCCCCTCCCGCCCGTCCAGGCCGGCTCCGCCAGAGCGAACAAACCACTCGCACATCAGATATCATACTCTTCACACGGTTCCGTGCCCCTCTCACCCCTCCATGGAGGCCCCACCAGAGCGAGCAAGGCACTCGCACACCAAACTGTGTTTACAGATTCCTGCCGCCCACACCCCTCCAGAGATGCCCCGCCAGATCGACCAAGGCACTCGCACATCATACTGTGTATACGGTGCCGTTCTCCTGGGCCTCTCCTTACCAGTCGGTGGCACCTGGTGCACTTCGCCTTCCTGGTCTTCCTCTACCTCGCGGACGTTGACTTGCTCACGGCCCTCCTCACGCAGCACTCGAGGATGGTGTTCTTGGCGCACCGATGACGGCAACACCAATCCACTCCCCCTCTGGGACTTCGCCCCCTGCTCCTGTCCATGGCGTACCTTGTCCTGTGCGAGATCTTCGGCAACGCCTGTACTCTGCACCCTCCGGCCGCCTGAAGCCCCGCCCGCCCGCGCCCTGTCTCCCCAATTAGGGCTTCGCGCGCCCCGCCTAGCTCTTGACCGGAAGGGGCCCGCTCCCGACCCGCCGACCAAAAAAGTGTATACGGTGCCGTGCCCCTCCCACCCCCCCAAGACGGCACCGCGAGAGCGAGCAAGACACTCGCACATCTTACTAGTTATTTACACGGATCCGTGCCCCCCCCGATCCTTTATGGAGGCACCGTGAGAGCGAACAAGGTTTTCGTATATAATATTGTGTATATGATTTCGCGCCGTTCCCACCTCCCAAGAGGCCCTGCCAGAGCGAGCAAGGCATTCGCGCACCACACGTGGCGCAAGGCCTCGTGCCCCCCCCCACCTCTCCAGTGATGCCCCGGCAGGGCGAGCAGCGCATTCGCACACCATCCTATTCACACAGGTTCGCGCCCCTCCCACCTCCCGAGTAAGGCCCCACCAACTCGAACAGCGTGCTCGCGCACAATGCTATCTGCACGTTTTCGTGCCCACCCCCTTCGAACGCGGTCCCGCCAGAACGACCAACGCACTCGCACACCATACCATTTACACGATCCCATCCCCCCCCCTCCAGGGAAGCCCCGCCAGAGAGAACAGGGCACTCGCACATCATACTGCGAATACGGTTTCGTGCCCCTCCCACCCACTCCAAGGAGATCCCGCCAGAACGAGCAGGGTATTCGCACACCGTATTCTGTACACGGCTCCGTGCCGCTCCCACCCCTCCAGGGCGGCCCCACCAGAGCGAGCAGGTGGTCCGAACAACATACAACTTACACGGCTTCGTACCCCTCCCACCCCTCCATGGAGGCCACGCCAGAGCGAGACGATTCGCACACCATACTGTTTGCACGTCTTCGCGCCCATCCCGCCCTTCCAGGGGGACCACGCACGAGCGAGCAACGCATTCGCACACCACACTTTGTTACACGGTCTCGTGCAAGCTTCCTGCCCCTCCCGCCTCTCCAAGGAGGCCCCGCCAGATCCAGGCAGGGCATGGCCAGACCCGACTCTTCCGCTGGCTCCCTGCCCCTCCCGCCCCTCCCGCTCCAGAATTGGTTGCTCCTACTCGCTTCCTCTCGCTGCTGCTCCTCCTCCTCCTCCTCCTCCTCCTCCTCCTCCTCCTCCTCCTTATTCCTCCTCTTCCTCCTCCTTATTCCTCCTCCTCCTCCTCCTCCTCCTCCTCCTCCTTATTCCTCCTCCTTCTCCTGCCCCTCCCGCCGCTCCCATGGGAGGCCCCGGCCGCTCGCGCCAGGGCCTCGGCTGACCTCCCTATTCCTCGGGACTCCTGCCGCCCCCCGGGCCCTCAAGGAGGAGGAGGGAGGAGGAGGAAGGAAGGAGGAGGAGGAGGAGGAGGGAAGAGGAGAGGAGGAGGAGAGGAGTAGGAGGAGGAGGAGGAGGAGAGTGAGAGGAGGAGGAGGAAGGAGGAGGAAGGAGGAGGAAGGGAAGGTGAGGGGAGGAGGAGGAAGGAGGAGGAGGAGGGGAGGAGGAGGAGGAGGAGGAGGAGAGGAGAGGGGAGGAGGAAGGAAGGAGGAGGAGAAGGGAGGAGAGGAGAAGGAGGAAGAGGAGGAGGAGGAGGAGGAGAGAGGAGGAGGAGGAGGAGGAGGAGGAGGAAGAGGAGGAGGAGGAGGGCATCGGCAGACCGTGCCATTGCTCGGGTTCCTGCCCCTCCCGTCCCTCCGGGGAGGGCCGAGGACCCAGACATGGCCCGCAGCGACCCCAAGCCCGCCCGCAGGGGCCCAGCACCCTCCTCGCGGAGGCCACGCAGGCCACAGAGGCCCCGAGCGCGCCCAGACCTCCCGACAGGGTGCCCACAGAGGCTCCAAAGGCGCCCCCAGAGGCCACACCACGCTGCCCCCCGAGGCCCCAGACACAACCCACAGAAGCCTCGGCACGTCGCAAGGGCTGTTTCTAAAATATATCCGGGCAATCCGGAAACACTTGGAAAACCAAACTGAAAAAAAAGAAAAAAATACACACCAACAATAGCCATCAACGGCGCCGTAAATAGTCCATAAGTCATACCTAGAGGCCATCTTGAAGCCAGATGGCCTATCTTGCGCAATTTGGAAGGCCATCAGAGCAATCTCGAGTCCTCTTGGAATTCTGTTGGCCCACAATACGCCCTCGGACCGCTCACGGGAGCCCCTTCCAAACACAGGGAAGAGCCCAAGGATGGCGTAAGGGGGGGCGACCTTCCCAGCGGAAAACGTTTACAAAAGCAACTTCCTGTAACTAATAACATCTGGGGAACGGATTCGAAGAGGGACGGGAAAGCATTCTGAACAACCGTCCTCTTTCTCCCTGCTGTTTCCCCTCCTTGCCTTCGTCTTCCCTGTGCATACATTATCTTGCGGTGCGCCTCCTATCCATATTGCTACTGTTAAGCCCCATTGATCCCGGGAAGCCCTTGACATCCTTGATTATGAGGTGAGACGCCAAACTGCTCCAAGCTGGCTCCAACAGGCCTCCAAATTGCTCCCAAAAAACTCGCGGAACAACACATTCCGCGGAAGCGTTCACGGTTGACTCGTCGTCGTCTTCGTCTCCTTTTTCCCCCCCATCCTTTTCATCTGTTCCTCCTCCCCCCATCTCCTCGTCTTCGTCTTCCTCCCCTTCCTATCTCCCTTCTCCTCCCCCTCCTCCGCTTCATTCTCCCTCAGTCTCCTCAATCCAAAGATAGTTGCCACCCAGCCCCAACACACCGGTTCGACCGCTGCCTCAGCTCTTAACATCACTGTTTCCCCCCCTACACACACTGGATAGGCTCGTGGGTATACGAGAACCGTTAAACACTGTTACTCATTGAACTATCCTGGTAACCTTCTTGCAGCCACCTTGGGCAATCTTGGAGGCCTCTTGGAGCTGTATTGGCCCCCTATATTAGGTAGTATTGGAAGCATCTGGAGCCAACTGGGAGTCCTTCGTTAACCGTCTTGGAAAATGCATGTTGGGAGACGAGACCGGAAATGGATCACTTGGATCTTCTGGCAGGCTTCCGGGGGAGGGAGAGTACGGTCGAGCGGTCGGTCGGCTGGTCGGCCGAAATTACCTAGTGCAAGATCACAGCTGCAGGTATGTACAGAATATGTACTCCTAATTTCGTACTCAAAGAGAGGGGGTCACAACCCTCCCAAATGAGCAGTTTCAGACCCCCCCCGACCAGCCATGAAATAGCGGCCTTTTGCCCAGACCCCCCTGGAGCCCTGTAACACAACTCAAATCAGAACCCCCCCCAACTGTGACCCCCCTCTTTATTACGAAAACCCGTATTCTGGAATTCGGAATATCTTCAGACACATTGCACCTATACGTATATATATATATATACATATATAAACAGAGGGAGGAAGAGAGGGAGAGAGAGAGAGAGAGACAGAGAGAGAGAGAGACCTACGTACATCCACACGCGCCAATCGTGGGCCCAGGATGGGCCTGGCCGAGGCTGGCGCCGAAGTCTAACTCTCGTTGTCCGATCCTTCGCCACCAGGCACGCCAAGAAACAGCAGATCTGGACGAGGACCCAAATCAAGAACCAGTGGACGTACGACGCGGACCGTGTTCGTGACGTGTAGGACGAGGCACTTGTGGCTCTTGAGGTGCCGAACCAGCCGAACCAGCTCGCGACGTTGATGCTGCTGGCTCCGAAAAGGCCGCCGCCATTCTTGACGTGCAGGTCCCACGGCTCAGCGCCGTTGTCCTCTGCCACGTGGAGGAGGAGGAAAAGGAGGAGGAGGGGGAGAAACATGAGAAGAGAAAGCCGCGGGGCCGACTCTGTCGGGCTGCGGGAAAACTGGCAACCGCAGCGTCCAGGCGGCCGCCCGTGACTGATCCCCATACCGTACAAGTGACCTGAGAAGCGAAGGATTGTGCCGACCATGCGACGCTTCAATGACGGGACCTTCGTGCAAGCACGGCGTGAAAGGTGGCATTACAATCGTCATAAATACAATTAACATTGGAATACAGTGGAACTTGTCAGTCTACCGTCGGCATTACAATCATCAACAATATAACCAACACAAGAGTACAATGGAACTTGTCAATCTAACCGTCGGCATTACAATCATCAGCAATACAATCAAAACGGGGAAGTACAATAGAAATTGCCAGTGCAATCGTCGGCAGTACAATCATGAACAGGTCCATCCAAGATCAAATGCGACAAACATTGGAACAACAATCCTCAGAAGCACCATCATCCGCAGAACAATCAAAAAGGTCAGTACAACCAACTGTGGCAGTGCAATCATCAAGGTAAACATTGGCAGTGCACCCGTCAACAACATCAAACAGAAATAATCAACATATGGCTCAAGCCCTCAATGAACCCAACGGCAGCGATTCCGAGATCGGCGAACACATAGATGGCGGTCTCAAGCTGCCACACGGACATTGGCAACGGTCATGGGACATCCTGCGACTTGCACGGCACAGTGCCAAGGCGGCACGTACTTGGATCTCGTAGCTCTTCCCTGAAATCGGTTTGTGTTGCCAAAAACCGTTCTGACTGTTACAAAGAGACCGCCGTCGCCATCACACACACACACCAAGACTTCCAGCATCTGCTGGTAACGGGTACCTACACACATTGATTCCCAGGCC